GGGGCTCTGCAACTTACCTGGCTGCTTCTTGCTCCTCGTGGCCCGACTGAGGGCTGCTGGGAGCAGGGGGCGGGGCTTGTTGCATGTGCCCGCCCCCTGGGCTCCTTACTGCCAGAGCTCCGCTCCTGTGCGCTCCCACAGGAAATGACCCCTGGGCTTGCCCAAGGTGCAAGTGGAGGAGTGTGGAATCAAACCCGGTTCTCCCAGATTAGAGTCCGCGCACTTAACCACTACACCAAACTGGCTCTCGTATTTTCATGGGAGTATTGGGTTCCCAGCTCTGAGTTGGGAAATACCTGGAAATCTGTGGGGTGGAGGCTGGGGAGGGCAGGGTTTGGGGAGGGGAGGTACCTCAGCCGTGGGGTTCACCTTCGAAGGCAGCCATTCTCTCCAGGGGACCTGATCTTGGTCGTCTGGAGATCAGCTGTAATAGCAGGAGATCTCTAGGTGCCACCTGGAAGGTGGCAACCCTATATGAATATAACGAACTGAGGATTATGTTTTGATATAGATTCTATCCTTGGCTGTACAGCACCTAGCACATCTTAGACAGAGGTGGAAGGGGCCATACAGGCCATGCTCAATGCAGGATCAGCCTAGAGCATCTCTGACGAGAATTTGTCCAGCCGCTGCTTCAAGACTGCCAGTGAGGGGGAGCTCACCACCTCCCTAGGCAGCTGATTCCACTGCTGCACAACTCTGACTGTCAAAACGTTTCTCCTCATATCCAGCTGGTATCTTCCCACCCTTAATTTAAACCCATTATGGCGAGTCCTGTCCTCTGCTGCCAACAGGAACAGCTCCCTACCCTCCTCTAAGCAACAGTCCTTCAAAGACTTAGAGAGAGCAATCCTGCCCCCCTCAACTTCTTCTTCTCCAGACTGAGCATTCCCAAGTCCCTCAGCCTTTCCTCACAGGGGGCTTGGTCTCCACGGTTTAGCCTCCATAGTAAAGGGAACCTGGGCTAGGTCCTGCATTCAGCAGATCCCTTTGGAGCAGTGCCTACAGCTCACCAATCCCGCCCCAGAAAGCCTCCCTTCAACAGTGCCTTTCTTTCTCTGGCTCCCCCTGGGCTCCCAAGAGCCTCCTCCTCACCCTGTGCAGCTGCCTCCTCGATCTTCTCTTTGGCCATCTGACCCATCACCGGCCACATTATGTCGGTCAGCCTCTTCAGCTGCTCCTGGCGAAAGGGAACACGAGAGGCTGGTTTGTGCCAAGGCTGGAAGAGAGAGGCTGAAAAGGGGGGGAACCTCGAGGAGATGCAACTTGGAGGGTCAGCAAAAGGAATGGGTTGGGGAAGAGATGTGGCACAGGCCCAAAGGGGAACAGGGGAGCTGGGTTCGAGCATGCACTGATGCAAAGCGTAGCAGGCTTTTAGATATGTGGCCTCTGGGCTGCGCCATACTGTGAGGAGGAAGGGCATTCCAAGGCGTTGTTTTGCAAAAGAGAGGGATTTCCCAGCATGCACAGCTGCCAATTGTACAGCTCCTTGTTTACGATTCACAGAGTACAGTAAGGTGAGAGTCCGCCCCGGCATGCGCCACTCCCCCGCCATACCTTTCACCCACAAAAACAGGGGGGCAAACACCCTGAGAAAAGGAGGTGAAAGGGCTACCTTCGCCTTTTTGTGGAACAAGCGAGGCAGGCGGACGTCAGCAGCTCAAAGGTGAACAAAACAAGTGGACGGCCAAAAGGAGAGGGAGGGCCGCAAGGGCCAAAGTTAAATATTGACCCCAGAAACCCCAGCTGGCTTTACCCGATCTCCAAACACTTTGGCCCCTAAGACGGCTCGGTCAATCGTTCCATCCTCCTTCAAGATATCTGCAAAGACAAGCAAGGAGAACATGGCTGAGCATCCAGTGCACCAAAGCTCCCCGCAGAAGAAAACCTCCAGACACCAGGGGCAGTAACCCCTCAGCCGACGGGTGAGGCTCCCCAGTCCCATGTCGAGTTCTTGGCCGCTTGGGTGTGCCTTTCCACCTTCACTTTTTTTGAAGTGGGAGAGGTGCCCCCCCCCTGGTGATTTTTTCCCTTCAAGATTCACATGGTTCCGTGGTCGTGCAGAAGGGTGGTCATACTCACACTCCCTCCCATCTTGTACATGAGAAAATAGGTGGCTTGCAACAGGGGCACACTTTTACAGAATTGCTTTAGCACATGAAATGCTATCTCAAAACAAGTCTTCCAGTGACCCCTGCTCTAGGCCCAGAAGAGGGCAAACCCCCCCCCCCAGGATTCCCAGCAAAACTGGCCTGGGGAAAAATTGATTCCTGACCCCAAAGTGGCGACCAGCCCTTTCCTGGGCGTGTAAGAAAGGGCCACAAGAAATAGGCACTGATGCAGCCTTTCCTGCCCTCCCTCACATGATCTGCCTAAATTCACAGAGTTGGCACTGCTGTCAGATGGCCATCTAGCCTCTGTTTGAAAACCTCCAAAGAAGGAGAGCCCAACACCTCCTGAGGAAGCCTCTTCCACTGAGGAACCGCT